CACGCAGCCACGAGACAGCACCAGACACACAGATGGACACACACACAAGGATGGACGCGGGGGCAGAGAGACACACACACACACACACACACACACACACACACACACACACACACACACACACAGAGCCTCTGGCGCATAGGCGCCCCATCCACATGCGCCCATAGCACAGAAGCGCCGGTCAACATGGGCCCTCTGCAAGCAGGGCCTGCCACAGTCACGGCCACGCGCACGCATGCGGCGCCCACTCCTCCATGCAGGCGGGCGCACGCAATGGCTGAGGCTCATGCTCCTCAGCCTGGAGGCCGCTTGCTTACCAGGCCATTAAATTCAATCTACTAGGGACACTGCGTCCTCGTCCTCGCCAGAGGTGCTTGAAGGGAACCAGACCAAAGACTGCCCGGTTAGTGGCTTCCCGCCACCACCCACGCGGCCCGGCCCAGCCCTGCCTGGCTCTGCCCTGGCTGCCTGTGGACACTGCCCTTCCCTCTCCCAGAGGGCCTGGCCCGGTGCTGGCCAATGGCAGCCCATCCTGGCAACTATGGGTGGTGTGGGCATGCAGGCGCCGAGGTCAGAGTGAGCGTGAATACCTGCGGCCTGAGGGATGGCAAAGGTGGGAGGGAAGCCGGCTCCTGCATACGGAGAGGCTGACATTATGCCGGGCGCACCTGGAAGCAAACAGACACTAATCACTGCACCTCACCTCGCGGCGGCTAGGGCCAGCTGTGCAGTGTGGGGCATCGGGGCCTGGGGTGCTGACAGCTAGGGGTCCTGTCCCCACCTGCTGACTCGGCCACACACATGGGGCCGTGGGACGTTGTCTTACCAAAGGCTGCGGCCATGGTCTGGTCCAATGAGGGCTGGCTGTCCCCAGAGGGCAGGTCCGGGCGTGTGTAATCACGGCTCTTATCATTGTTGTACTTGACATTGAGGCTGGTGAGCTTCGAGAAGTCAATGCGCAGGGTGCAGCAGGCATTATAGATGTTCTGCCCATCCAGAGACTGTAGAAGAGGAGCAAGGTGAGCAGTGGGGGGGTGGGGGAAGGGGGGAGCGGTGCCTAGACATGGGCCGGGCACTCACCAGCTTGGCATGCTGGGCGCTCACAGGGTCGGCGTACTGCAGCAATGCCTGGAACTGGTTATTCTTGGTAAAGGTGATGATCTTGAGCACAGTGCCAAACTTGGAGAAGATCTGTGGGGAGATGGGTATAAGCATGGCATGCTAGGAAGCCCAGGGTCAGGGGCCAGGTGTGAATGCCCACCTGGTGCAGCACATCCAGGGTCACAGGGTAGAAGAGGTTCTCCACAATGATCCTGAGCACAGGGCTCTGGCCCGCCATTGCCATCCCAGCATCCACAGCCGCGGCGGAGGCAGCCAAGGCCAGATTTCCCGACTGTACTGAGTTCACGGCCTGCAGAGCCGCCTGGGCACGCTGTGGAGGAAGTGCTGTGAGCCGGGGGCCGAGGGGGGCTGGGGCCACCCGCCTGCCGCGCACACGCACCGCCTGGTTCGGGGAGCTGTCGGTCTTGAGCTCCTTGTGGTTGGAGAACTGGATGTAGATGGGCTGGCCGCGCAGCACAGGAGCCACTGAAGCGTAGTAGCTGACCATGGTGTTGGCCGCCTCCTCTGTGCCCATCTCGATGAAGGCCTGGTTCTTGCCCTTCAGCATGAGCAGGTTAGTCACCTTCCCAAAAGGCAGCCCCAGGGAGATGACCTCGCCCTCCGTCACATCGCTAGGCAGCTTGCGCACGTGGATGACTCTGGAGGGGACACCCGCACTCCTGCTGTCCCCTTTGAACTTCTTGCTGTCATTTCCATTGGCTGAAAGAGGTGCCAAGGGTTTGAGCACCCAGTGTCCCTTCTGCCAGCCTGGGGTCAGGGTCCCTGCTGCCACCCCTGGGCCTGTCATCCCACTGCCCTGGCTTACCTGCTGAGGCCGTGCTGCCACTCATGATGAAGGGGCCGTTGCTAACGCACGTGGAGAAGAGTTCGTCAGATCCCCGCTGAGGACAGAGCACATGATGAGCCCTGGGCCAAGATGTGTGGACATGCCCTTGGGTTCACTACAAGTAGCCCCCCCTGTAGTCCCCAAATACAAGTAGCCACATGGGACACAGCCAGGTCAGCTCTTAAGAAGCAAAGTTGTAGCTCCTCCAGTTCCCTTGACACTCAGGAAGGACAAGAGACTGTGGGTGCACCCAATGGGCAGAACATACTCTTCTGGGAACTCCTGAGTCAACCTCAGATCAGACCCCACATCCCCAGAGACACAGGAAATGGAGGGGGGCTCAGGTAGTAGTAAACAGCCCTTCTGAGCAAGCCAGAAGTGACAGTTGGAGAAAATGCACAGGCCCATCACCCAGACATGACCTTGGACCACACACAGCACCCAGTTCTCAGCTCAGGACTACCACCTGAGCCTTCTGTACCAATTTGGCTCTATAGGAGGGGTTGGCAAGGTCAGGCAGGGTCCGTCACAGCCCACCTCAGCAATGTGCTGTCAGTCACCTAGCCTCCAAATCTGGGTACTGCCCCCTAGGGGTAGTCTAAGCTCTCAGGCAAGGCTGGCCCGGCCCAGCCCAGCACACATGGCTCCAGGAAGTGGACATGAGCCCACAGCCTTTGAGAGGGCAAAAGCCACCAAGATTGTGGCCCTGGCTGAGAACAGGAGAGGCTAGGGGTCTCCAGGCCTCCTGGCTGCCCCCAGCCTAGAGCCTCTAGCAGAAGCCATACTCATGTCTAAGGCAAGAGAGGGCTGATGGTTCGGGGTGAAGGCCAAACCTCCCCATCCCCCAACCCTGTTGGCCCCAGTCCCTTCCTGCCATGGTTAGTCACCCAGGAGCCCCACATGAAGGCTGTACTGGGCAGCTTCCACCAGGTGTTTCTTGCATCCCAGATTGCTGGCTGCTGGCCTGAGCTCTGCCAGTCTCCAGAGCCCCAGGATCTTCAACTGGGCCACAGTACAAGTGGCCAAGCAGACTGTATAAAGGCATGTGGGAACCCCAGGCTACCAAGCCTCCAAGTCCCTACAACCTCCTAGAGCTCAAGGCTTTCCCTGGGGACCCACATTTCCCAGACCACTCGCTGACCTCTTGGCATAGCCAGAGAGCTCCCTGGTCCTTGCCTGCCCAGGATGTCAACCAGGGTAGGAACTGAGTCTGAGTGGGTGAGCACCATGGATGGGGTGAGGCAAGGTAGGCCACACACACACCCCACTGGGACCTGGAGCAAAGCAGGGTCCCCCCCGCAACACATAGGCTTTATCTAAGCAGGCAGATGGGGACAATGTCCACTTGGTAAAGAGTGAAACCAGTGCAGGCTGGCCAGAGCAGTTGGCAAGTTGTGGCCCTAGGCCCTCATCAGTAGAGCCCCAGGAGAGGGACAGGGCCCCAAGTCACATGCAGACTGTGCCCTTCTAGGCCTAGGCTTCACACCGAGTGCCATTCTCCCCCACACACTCAGGTGTCACTGACTTTGAGACCTGCCTGGGCATGGGCATTAGTGCTGTGGGCAGTGACTGTTCAGTGCAAAGACACAGTAAGTAGCCTCCAGAGAGGCCCACCCCAGAAACCCTGGACTCACAGGGAAGAGGAGAAAAAAATGCCTGGGGCAGGGACAGCCTTGCATGCATTATACAGGTACCAGGCCCAAACCTGATAACACCCAGAAACCCCCAGGGTGTGCGCCTACTCCCCACTCTTCATTTCAATGCCAGTGTCCCAGGGGCCTCCCTAGCCGACTTTTCTGTTAAGTCCCCAGCCCAGGCAAGGGGGGCTGCTCCCCAGCACCTACCTTTGTACCAACTGCTATGTCTGGGACGATGCTGTTGAGGGAGAGAGAGGAGAGAGAGTGAGAGCAGCGGGTGGGGCCCGCTGGGAAGAGCAGGGAAGTGAGCCGCCCACTGGGCCTCCAATTGAAGGGGACCCCACTGTCCAGGGCACCTCCCTGCAGGACCCTAGGCACAACAGAACACAAAGACTGTGCAGAGCAGGGGCTCGACCTGGGCTGCTCCCTGGCAGCAGGGGCGGTGGCTGGTGGCAGTTGGACTGGTTGCCATGTGCAAAACCAACAGAGCGGCCCAGACCCAGCCCAGGTTACTGATCAACCCTGGCCCATGACTAAGTCCCCTCTCCCTGGGGCAGACAGTCATGCTTGGCGCTCACCTGCCGCACCTGCCCTGAAGGTCCCCATGTGGTCATGACCCGGCACCCACTGAGTCCTGCCTCCAAGGGGAGGGTGTGGACAGAAAGGACAGTCCCTCTGAAGAGGGACTTGGTCACTATCTGCCGGAAGGTACCTCTCTAACTTAGGGCTCTGAAAGATCCCTAACTAGAGGCTGAAAAAAAAGGGTAGCAACCGGGGACTTCTGTCACAGAGCTGTCTCAGCACTGCCACAAGATGCAAGCTAGCCTGAATAATCGAAATTCTGTCTAAAAGATCAAGAGAAAGTTTGGGTGTGGTGGCGCATGCCTTTAATCCCAGCATTCTGGAGGAGAGGCCAGCGAGTTCGCGACCAGCTGTGGCTACAGGGAGAATGTCTCAAAAAACAAAACGAAGAAAGCCAGAAAAACGTTTTCCAAACTTGTAATTGCAGCACTAAGGAGGCTGAAGTGGGAGGTTCATGAGCTCCAGGCTACCGTGGGCTCGAGGAGAGGTCTCCAAAACCGCAAAATACCTAAGTTTTTTAAAACTGGGGAATCCGGGCGTGGTGCTGCACGCCTGTAATCCCAGTTCTCGAGAGGCGGGAGCTCTGAATCCGAGGCTAGACTGTGCCTATATGTAGACCTCTGTTCCAAAATAACTAAAGAACAAAGTCAGATAATTTTGCAAACGAACTGGGAGGATCAGGAGTTTCAGGGAGCCTGGACTACACAGTAAGACCCTTCTTAAAAAAAAAAAAAAAAAACAGAAAACCCCCTGAAATTTAAATTTTATTATTTTTATGTGTACAAATGCCTTGCCTACATGTATGTAAGTGCATCTTATGTGTGCACTGCCCACAGAGATCAGAAGGTGGTAATGGATCT